TTGAGCCGGTGAGATTAGAACCGCTGAACTGCAGATAACAGTCAGCTGAAGTGGCCTGCAGTACTGCACCCTAACCACTGCGCCACCTTGACTCTTATGAACACAATTGGGATCAGAATTTCCATTGTGTCTAAATTCTGATCGTGTGGTTATGGTGACTGTGAACAGTTGTTAAATGAATGGTTGTAAGTCGAGGACTACTGGTAGTTCCTGGGAAAAAAACAGTGGAACTGAACTACAGAGTAAGCATCCATAGAACTGTACTATAGCTACAGTTCTGAGCACTGATGATAGTTAATCTCCACAAATTGTAAAGCAAAGTACAAATGTTCATATTTTTTTTGCCACATTTGGGGAAATATATATTGCATCCATGTTTTAGTCCTATCTCACTTTGCCTAATTCTATTTCCCATGATTTTGAAGTACACAGAAGAGGGCGTGTGGGCTTTTATTGGTGCTCCATCAAATTTTCACAAATGTCTGTATCAGAACGGGTATTAAATAATAATCTTTCCCACAAGTTATTTAGCCTTGTAGAACAGAATGGAAGCATCAAATTAATTATAGTTTGGGATATATTTATGACCACCTTCATCACTAAGGCTTTTCCAAACTAAAAATAATTCACTGCTGGTACAAAAGGCTACTTTAAAATAGTGCAAATGGGGAATATCCAGGAGAAATAATCACCACTTTTACTTCTTAGATCAGATATTTCTTTTTAAAAAAAACTTTTCCCCTTCAAAATTTCAGTGCCCACTGTCTTTGAATAAAATGCATTAATCCCATCAGAAAAGAATTGCCAGCAAGGGAGCTGCCTGATTTTAGTAGGTTATATAGGATTTTGAAACAGAAGTTAATCATTGGTGCAAAACTCCTGTGAAAATAGGGTTTTAGAATTCTGCATTTGTTTGAGAATTCCTCAAGAGCATGCTATGTATAGAGAAGCATTGTTGCAGTTATTAATGTAGCAGGACTACAGAAAAGAACTAACATTTATGAATATATTATAAACTCAGCAATGTGTTGTTTCATGTGGACAGATTCCACTATAGTTCTTGCCTGGATCTCTGATAGACCAGAGTATGGAAGTATGTCATAATGTAGGTAGTCTGTTAAAATGTCCACCTCTGCCAAGAAATTAATGTTCTGATCAGCAGTCAAGTTTGCTTGACTAGTAATATGGGAATATTAGTAGCTTTCACAACCAAAAATAGAGGCAGAAGGTAGTCATTACAGTAGCTGTTGAGAAGATGGCTAGATGTATCTTGTTCCGAATCTTCAGATAAGTGTTTCTAAGGAAGGAAATGATGGGAAAGGATAGAGAATGTATAAGGAAGCACCTTTACAAGCACACATTCTATTTTTAGCCCTTGCAGAACAGATTGAGGAAATCAGAGAGGAGGAAAAGTGCATAAAAAAAGGCAACAGACCTTCAGGGGAAGGGATAACTTCCTTTATCCAGCTGAATCCATGGTGGCTGGATTGGAAGAAACAGAAGAGTTTATTTCTATCTTTAGAATTGGACTCAAAAGAACATTTCTTACATCTTATAGATAAAACTACCTTGCTAGAGGACTACCCTCACTTCTGTTGGTTACTTCTTTTTTTTAAAGAAAGATTAGTATGTACCATCACAAAGCAATATTATGGAATAATGAATAATAAGTCAAAGAAAAAAAAGGCACAGGCAAGAAAAAGCAAAGGAATAATCACCCAATCTAGCTAAGTCCTTCAATATGATGAAGCTGAAGGTATCAGCTTTGAGGTTTGGATGGCTTGTTTTACACAGTCCCATTTGGTTGTCTTTTCCTTTGAATGGCAGGACGGCCAGCCAGGTGGTGATTAGTTTCTATTGCTGTGATTTCTGGCACAATACATTGTAAGAAAGTGCTGAAAAAGCCTGTTTGGTGTCCCATAGAACCCTTTGCTATGATTGTAGTACTTTAACAGAAGCCAGTTTGCATCAGTGTACTCATCCCTGAAGTGTTAATAAGCTATGTGGAGGAAATTTACCTTGGATACAAAGAGATACCAAATGTTGGATCCAAGTCTTTCAATACCTAATCCTTTCTTTTTGCTCTCATCTTTTCAGTTTACTTTCTTGTACAGGAAAAGCAAGTGGTCTTAAAAATACTTTTCTCTCTTTTCTATGTAAGAATATTTTTCCCCAGATCCATTTCTTAAAGCTCAAAATGTTTGCTTTCTGTTCATATTTTCTTAAAAATTTCAGATTCATTCTGGTTTTCCTGTAGGTTGCTTTGCATCTTCCTTTTTTCCAGCAGGATAAATTAAATTATCGGCTCTAAAATTGCCAGAAATCCTGTCCTGAAGTAATATACTATTGTAGTTGTGATTACTTAACATATAGATAGATAGATAGATAGATAGATAGATAGATAGATAGATAGATAGATAGATAGATAGATAGATAGATAGATAGATAGATA